CACAAAACAGCTGCCCAGGCAAGGCGTAGGTTAATGAGTGGTAAAGTCAAAGTCTGGGGAAATGTTGGAACTGTTGAATGGGCTGATCCCATAGAAGATCCTGATCCTGAAGTTATGGCAAAGGTAAAAGTGCTGTTTGTACGCAACCTTGCCAATACTGTAACGGAAGAAATTTTAGAAAAGTCATTTAGTCAGTTTGGGAAACTGGAACGAGTGAAGAAGCTAAAAGATTATGCTTTCATTCATTTTGATGAACGAGATGGTGCTGTCAAGGCTATGGAAGAAATGAATGGTAAAGACTTGGAGGGAGAAAATATTGAAATTGTTTTTGCTAAGCCACCAGATCAGAAAAGGAAAGAAAGAAAAGCTCAGAGGCAAGCAGCAAAGAATCAAATGTATGATGATTACTACTATTATGGTCCACCTCATATGCCCCCCCCAACAAGAGGTCGAGGGCGTGGAGGTAGAGGTGGCTATGGATATCCTCCAGATTATTATGGATATGAAGATTATTATGATTATTATGGCTATGATTACCATAACTATCGTGGTGGATATGAAGATCCATACTATGGTTATGAAGATTTTCAAGTTGGAGCTAGAGGAAGGGGTGGTAGAGGAGCAAGGGGTGCTGCTCCATCCAGAGGTCGTGGGGCTGCTCCTCCCCGTGGTAGAGCCGGTTATTCACAGAGAGGAGGCCCTGGATCAGCAAGAGGCGTTCGTGGTGCGAGAGGAGGTGCCCAACAACAAAGAGGCCGCGGGGTACGTGGTGCAAGGGGTGGCCGCGGTGGAAATGTAGGAGGAAAGCGCAAAGCTGATGGGTACAACCAGCCAGATTCCAAGCGGCGCCAGACCAATAATCAGAACTGGGGCTCCCAACCCATTGCTCAGCAACCGCTCCAAGGTGGTGATCATTCTGGTAACTATGGTTACAAAACTGAAAACCAGGAGTTCTATCAGGATACTTTTGGGCAACAGTGGAAATAGAAACAATAGGGCACCTGTAAAATTGGAGACTGATAGGTTGACCAGAAAGTGGCCCTAAATCTGAACAGGTGCCATTATAATTTGAGACATCTGGCAAGATTTTCCCATTATGTATATATTTTAACAATCCGCTTGGACACGAACAAAGCCACACTTCTAACTGCTTCTGGCAAACTGATTTATTTTTACTTTTAATTTTTTCCAATAAAGGTATTCTTAGATAAGAGAAAAATAGTTAATGAGTTTGCATTCCTGCTTGAGAATTTGGCTCATTGGCTGTAGCATATATGATGTTTCTGGGTAGTGTTTAGATTTGGTGTCTTGAAAAGGTAGTTGATTAAAAACCAAGTATGTCTTTAATATCTTGTATCAGGACAACTATTTGTATGTTACCAACTTAAATTGCTAGAATAAGGTAAATTGGTACACAACTGCTATTTTTAATTTAGACTTTGACCTAATTGGGTTTTCAAAACCATTTGGCTACTTGTATTCTTTATGCTGTTGTTAATTTCAATAAAAAATTCACATCTAAATGTATACTTATTAAAACTGTGTTTACAATCCGTTTTTCACAAAAATTCCTGCAAATTTGGTTCAAATTGTATAGCATGTCAAGGCCAATTAAAGGGTTTTGTGCCTTGTAAAGCCTTGTGTGGAATATGTCTGCACATTACACAACACTGATTTGTTGCTTCTGGTTTAAAAGTGCTATTATACAACAGACTCATGTTATCAACCAAAATTAATAATTAGTATGTGTAGTAAGTTTAAGTTGGTAAGTATTTTTATAGCTCTTAACTTTATGATAAACTATATAACAAGGACAATTACAGGTACAAGAGTTGTGGGATACATTTAACACTTTAGTTGTTTGAAGTTTATCCTAACAGTGTAAAACTCAATTGAGTATATTGCCCCTCTTGATTATTTTTGTGCAGCATGGGACAGCAAAGAAACACTAATGTGATATTGGGAATAATGTGAGTGTTTATAAGTTGAATTTTCTTTAAGTCCTTGTGCTTCCCTCTGAAATGAAAAGAACATTTTTAATTAGTAAATATTGAAAGCTTAAATTTACTTCACAAATTGGTTTATATCAAAAATTTCATGGCTGTTGCCATGGTCTAAAATAGCAGTGATGGGAAAATTAAAGTTTATTTATTTATTTATTTTTTGTGCAGAGGTGGTGATAGATGTAAGGTCCAAAGTGAACCTGCAATTCTCCCAAAATTCAGAAATTTATATTTGACAGGCTAAGTGAGACAGATACATAAGGGTGTGCTTTTTAAAAAAGTAAACCAATGAATTCTAAATAACTAGGTAAACAAATCTCAGATGTTTTCTTTGATTACTCCATGTCTCAAAATGGGAATACTTATAAATTTATTTGGACAAGTCCCTTAAAGTGTAAGTTGTTAGGTTTTTCCTTAGTGTTTTAAATAAAATCAGTTTGTGAAAAAAGTGGGGTTCTCAAAATACGCTCCCACAAAAGCAAACTCAAGATTCAACTGAAAGCAAGTGAGAAAACCAAGCAGAAGGAAATTTAGTTATTCTAAAGGCAACTAACTTGTTGGATAGAGTTTATATAAGACTTAAGGTATTTAAAGCTTTCTTATTTTTAATGTTATCATTATGTATGTACACATAATTAATTTAAAATGATTTATCTAACTGATTCCTTTTGTTACCTGGCTAGCAGGGAAAAGGGGTCGAGGCCGGTCCTGACCTGTTACAATGAAGACTGACTTGCTATGTGGGATTACACCAGAAGCTTGCAGTGGAGTAATGGTAAGGAAAATCAAGCAACCTTAAATATCTCGGCTGTATAGGAGCATATTCTATTGCAGAAGACCTTCCTATGAAGATCATGGAATCAAATACGGGACATTGAACTAATACTTGGACTTTGATATGAATTTCTTTAACAATTTTCTCTGCAGTGCAAGTTATTAAACTAAAGCTACTCTATTTTCCAAATGTGTTCCAACAAAAATCCTTCATAACTTCTAGCATGGTATCTTAATAAAGAATAAAGTTCTTCTCTTTAAAAAATCTGCTCTAAGTAGATTTTTCCCCTCTTTTTTTAATTAAGGATCTCAGCAGTGGTATTCTGAAATATTCTCTTGAATTTGTGCATTTAAATTTTATTGCAGTGATATAGATGAATGCCACTGTTGGTACCCTTAAATTTTATTTCTGCTCACCAAGGTTAATCATGATTGTCTATATCTTTTTTATAGTAATCACTTTTGAATTGTGTTCAGATGCAGTTTCAGGTGTAATCATCAGAGCTGGTTAGTCAGGCATTCCAGATAGTGGTTCTTTTCAGAACCTTTTTTAAAGGGTTGGTTAACTACCTCAGTAGCAGAGGATTGAACTATACCCTGTCTGTACTGTACATAGAAAATCTTTGTAGATAAAAGCAAGGCTTGTTAAATATGATATGAGGGTAAGATTTTAATAAACCAAATGTAACATTCTTAGTTGCCTTTAGTTTCAGAGGCTTGTAAGACTTCCTCATGACCATCATAACAGGCCTTGCTTTTGTCGTATTTTGTGGCTGAAAAAGCAGCCTTGCTTCTTCAGATATTGTAGTTATTTGGATGTATAATAGTTTAGCAAGATGTTACTTTTGTAAGACATCAGATGTTCAAAAAAGTGCATCCGAACTTGTACTAAATACTGCAGTGTCCCTTTATAAAAAGTCAGACTAAAACTGACAATTGTACAGCAAAGCCTGACATTTGGATATTTTGAAGTTTTTTCATAAATCATAGAAATTAGTATATGGCTGTAGTTTAGCTTTTTAGGTAAAAGGTATGTTTCATTAGTGCATTTGTTACTGCTGATCACTATAAAAATGTGAATCAGCTTTCCATTTCTTATGCAGGTCATGATAACTTGTAGAGTAGAGTACAATCATTTGTGCTATGTTTTTAATTTTCTAAAGCACCTTGATGACAGTGAGTGTTCAGTGGTGAAGCATCCTCTATTGAATCACCCTCAAAAAATTTTTTGCCAAGTCCTAAGTTGATAGCTTAAAGTCAAAAGTAAAATGATAGTTTAAGTAGGACTTGGTGTAAAGAAATACCTTCTCCCCTTCCCCAAAGGGATACTGCAGTTATATCACATACCCAATAGGCACCACGATGAAGATCAGAGCTTATACCTAATTAAGGTTTTATACACACCAGTTCCCCAGTAAATGCAAATTTAACAAGAAAATTAGACATGTCATATGTTCAAAATGCTCATGGCAAACAATCATTTTTGCATTCCTGCAAATAAAATTGTTTTATACTGTAAGCTGGAGGCGAGTGTAACTTATTTTTGTAATAAAGTTTTTATTTTTTTTATGTGTCATTAATATAAATGTGTGTTAGTATAGCAAATCTTCTGGTTTAAAAACTTAGAATTGCACACATTTCAGTATGTTCATTTGTACTTACATAATTCTAGAATAGTGGTTGCCAATAGCCTGTATGTTTCCCATTAATTGGTTTTTTTTTTCCTTTACTTTTTTGTTACCTTAATAAACCATTTTAGTATGTTGTATGTCAGTTACTGGGATAGCTGGGGCATAGAGTGTAATTTAAAATTTGTCAATAAGTATTCATTGGAATATATGTAAATGTGCCTTGCCGGTTGTTGAAACTTACCTACAAAATGAGTATGGGGTGACAAAAATTTGTTCCTGGTGCTTAATGAAACTTTCTTCCACTGATTTTATATATAACCCTGTGCTTTTTAAAAGTACATCTCTCAAATCGTAAGTTTGAGGGCTACACAAAACATGTACATTTCATTCTAACATAGTAAGTACACTAGGTCGTGGAAAGTGGGTCAATTATATGTAGCCTTCAGCAAAATCGAATCTCAGTGTAATCCTTGGTGCTGGCACTTCCCAGGTCCAAGGAGTAAAATGATCCCATCTAAGAGGTCATTGCCATGCCTATTGGCACTTAACTGTCATACCATTTTTACGGACACTGTCAAGGTCTTTTAGTTAATTCTTGGATTTATTTGTTGGGAAGCTAGAACAGGTTGTTTGACTTAACTGCATTGACAAAGTTGAAAGATGAACACTTTTGTGGGTTCACAAATGTGTTCTTTAAGAAAATATTGGAGTATTGAGCTCTGTGGGTTTCTAAGACTTGGCTATTTTAGTTTGGGGACATGGGAGGGAAAACTGATTAAAAAATTGTGAAGAATTGATGGTTATACTTAAGGGTAATGTAAACAGTGGTGATGAAATACAAACTCAAGTGAAAATACTTGACAGTGTTCATTTTAATGACTTTGAATTTAAGCCATTATAATTACTTTTAAAATTAAATATCATTTGCACTGTTCTGATAATGGGTGCAGTTTTTGAGCAATATAATCAGAGCTAAATATGCATGTAGTGATTAGTGATGTGAACAATTAAGTTCTGAGAAGAATACTAACCGTGGTATTTTCAAACTTCAATTTTCTATAGTAAAATCAGTAACAAACTCTTATCAGAAATCAAGAAAAAAACAGGCAATGCATATAAACATAATTTTGAATGTTGTGTGGCCTATAAAGCAATAATGCAATTTATATGGAATGTCATGGGATATGAGAAATGGAAATGCGAAAATAACTAATCCTTTAGTAAAAATGTCAACATGTTAAAAGGGGGAATGTTAACTAATGTAGGTTATTGCGTTTGTGATTTGTTTATGGGTTCTTGGCTTTGACAGCTTCAAAGAATGGACAGATGACAAGTTAAATTTTGTATATATTGTCAAGGAAAGGGTTTTTAATAGTCCCTTCCTTGAGGTAAAAAGTTTATAAAAAAGAATTTTGATTGTTGAAAAGTTACCTAACCAAAACAGACGCAAGATTTTGTTTCTGCAGACTACTTGGCAATCAAAAGTGTTCATAAATTTAGCTTATCAGTTTTTAGGAAGTTAGTTTGTGAGAAAGTTGTGTTATATTCTTCCCAAGCATGCTTTTTGTGCAAGATTTTTAGTCCTTGCAATTGAATCACACGTTAAAAATGGAGAATTGAATTGCACAAAAGGAATATGTTCACGATGGCACTTAACAGCATCATGAGAATCTTACGGATCACTGCAGAACTTTTACTACTTGATGCAAATCTGACTAAACAAAAGTAGAAACATTTTCTCATGACAGATTAGGAATGACACAAATGGATTGAAGGGGCAATCTGGGCTATATAATTGTATATAAGATATTTGAAAAGATGTATTTAGTATTAGGATGAACATCAAACCACACGGGAAAATTAACTTTAGTGCAGCTTTTTTGAAATTACTTGGTCAGAAACAGCAAATACATCATGTTATGATGTAGTCACTAATTGATGGGGAGAAATTAAAATACAGAAGGGCTTTATGCATGAAAAAAGGTAGTCGATCCGAGAGTAAATGGTTGCTCAGGTTCCTAAAAACTCCAATAATACCCTCCAAGACTGTTTTCTCCCCACTTACCATAACATAAACAGGAAATCGGTGGGTATAAAGTTAACAAATAAACAACTTATTTTAACAGTACATGGAACAGACTTCTTGGGATGATTTTTACGGTGTAGTATTTACTTAGTAATCTTACCACTCAATAGGGCATGCCACTAAAGATGCTAATTATGAACCAAGGCTCACACAGGCATTTTTTAAAAACTGAGCCAATGTATAGATGGACTTTTTGAGTCTGTCACTTTTTAAAAGTTCTTAAAACATAAAACATGAACACCACAGTCTGCCTTCAATAATGTACCTAAAATGTTTTTCAGGACCAGAAGCATTCAGTTGGACATCCTTTTTTGCAAATGCAAATCAGTATTACTCTGGGTCAAAGATTAAGTTTTTAATATTAACAGTAGTCTGGTAAACATTTAGAAGTCTGACATTGAGAAACAAAAGCTTGTACCTGAGTATTTTAATTAAAAAAATTAGATTTTAGCTTATTTAAATTCTTTTACATTTATTTATCCATAGAGTTTATATTTATTTCGTTCCTTTCGTCTCACTGAAAGCTGTCTGCAGGCTTTTTGATTTGGATTAGATGTGTGAAGTACTGTCTTTCGCCAAAAACCTCAAATTACCTGTTTTTTTTCCCAACGTAGTGGGTTTGTGCTTGTTTGGAGATCAGTTCAAAAACTATCTGTACTATCTGTACTGCCTCTGATGTTAAGATTTTATGTATAGCATAAGGAAGCTAGCTCTGACTATATTTTCCTAAGAATAAAGACCTATTTTTGTAGCATGTCTTAGGATCTCCAGGAGTCCAAGAGTTATTGTGAGTGTCCTCCATTTCATCATTTTTCACTCAACAGCTTTTTAATAGACACTTGGAATCTTTAGAGCTCTGTCGCCTATTGATCATGCATACATTCAAAGTAACTAGGAAATGGTAGAAACAAATTCCCCAAATACCTCTAACTGCAAGCCACATGACTGGGAGATGTGTAGAATAAATAATTGGGGCTGGTCTTCATTTAATTTTAAGTTTTGGAAATATATGGTCACATACATGCCAATAGATTTATGAACTCCATGATAATTTGTTTTGGGAACATGCTTCACCATGTAGTGTTCTTCTATTCTCCAGTTTTATTTCTGGCAAATAAAATTTCTTTGAAGACTGGAAAATGAGATTGAAGTACCAAATAATTCAGGAGAGGGGAAGAAGAAAATGATCTCTTGATAAAATTTGCATTTAGATTACTACAAATGAGTTTATGTGAATGAACTCTGCTCCATTGCATATTAAAGTCAGTGGCCTCGTACAGGACTTGTAAGTATATTCCGGGTTTTCTGGCTCCCGGTTCCAGGCTAGTTGGAGGTGGGGGCTAGGAAGGAGATAGGGGTGGTTTGAAATACGTTAGTAACTGCTACTTGATTTCAAGTTTCTGTTGTAGCTACCCAAGATGGTATTTAATGATGAGAATATCATTTTAAGACTTATGATTGGGGAAGTCCTGGTAAATTGGAAGCCATTTAGAGATTGTCTTCAAGTGTATTTCTGACACAATAAATTTAGTTGTGATAAAAACAGGGTCACTACAGAATTGCTTTTTACAGGCTTAAATTACTTAGTTTATTACTATAATTTAAACTTGATTTCTGATTTGAGAATTACAAAGGTTACATGTAATTTTTATGTATTGTGATTTCCTTAAACTATTCTGAAAGGATTATTGTGATGGAATTTCAACTTGGAGAAAAGTTACATCAGTTTTTGCTTTTTCAGGGAAAGAAGTCAAAAGGATTTGGGTAGACAGGCCATTACTACAGATTGCTGAGTAAAATAAGACTCCTAACAGTAATACACGATTTATGGGAAAATTAGATTCTACATGGCATCTCACAGAAATCCTGACATTCCTTTGTCTTGGGGATCATTTAATGGTGGTAACTTTAAAATGAGATGAAATTTGAGTAGTTGTGACATTTATGAAATAGAGGTATTGTACTATTTGAAGGGCAAATTTGCCAAACATGAAGGCATATATATCATTATTTAAAACCTAAAGAGAATATCAGAATTTATATTGGCTATAGAATAGTCAGCCATACCAGGTGGTGCATCTTACAATCCCAGCTATACAGGTTGAGGCAGAAGCTTGAAGAGGTAGGAGCTCCACTTGTAATTGCTTGAAATTATTTAATATGCCATGATGAATTAGAAAAGGGTATACATTACTTGTTCTCACTTATTTTGAATGTCCCTCGGGACAAAAACGTAAGAGAACAAAAGCTAAGTTCATGTATATGTTTGTATATTACACTTACCTTCTGTTCTACAGTCAACGTGTATGTATAGTGTAGTATTGGGTAATAGAGTTTACTTTTTTTTTCCTTTTGAAATAGTACTCACATGTTAGTAAAAAAATTATTTCTTGAGAGTGCTTCAGAATTATTAAGGGCAAAAGCATTACTTTAAATTTTACCATGCCTTCTGATGTTATATTTATTTTTATAAAATTAAACAAATTTTAGCGGACTTATTGGGTTCCTGAAAATCCATTTAGCGTTTAGGAGCATCAAGTAAAGTAAAGGCTTTAGAGAGAAGATACTAGAATCATTCAGTTTCTATGACTTACTGTTTTTTGATCAGTTTGCTTAAGTTGCCTAGTTATGATCATGTTTATTTTATTTTAGCCTGGAAGCTAAAATAGAATGGAAGCTCCTTGAGGGCAGGGCATCTGAGTAATGGTGCTATGCAGGCAGATCAAAAACAATCTTAAGCACTTTTCCCTTTGTAGATATTCAGGTAATTTGTTGTATTGTTAAATTCATTTAGAATCCTTTTAAATGCTAACATGATGTTGCCATCCTACAAATTAAGGTTATGAATTTCCATATTTAAATTGTCAATATGACTTTACAAAAATTATGAATAGTGTTACCTTCAGTTGCAGGACCAGATGTAGTACGATTTAAATGCTTTATGTCTTTTATAAATTTTCAAATATTTGTGTGAAAGTCACTATTTACATTTTCCTAATTTGAAATTGGAGGGGAAAAGAATGCTTAAACGTCATCCTTAGCAGTGACCCTCTGAAAATCCATTTTATCAATTTTCTTTCACGATAGTGTTCAGTTTAAGTGTATTATGCTACAGAAAACTCTTCATGTTTATTTATGAAGTATTGGTACTGATTTTAATAGTTTCTATACTTTTAAATATAACTTGGTAAAAAATAGCTACATCTACATGAATAGCCTTTCTAATCTACCAAGTGATAGGAAAAGAAAGTTAGATCATAAAGAGACTTTAGTTTTGAGTAAAGATGGTATTCATGTTTATTGTGTTTATAATTGACAGTTTATCTTGAATAGTACTATTTCCTTTGGTACTGAAGATGGAATTCATGACCTTACATATATGAAGTCTGCACTCGGCACCCACTCTCACTGATAATAACATAAAACTTCTTGGAGAGCACTTAAATAGCACAGGATATGAATCCTATATTCCAGTGCCCAACTTCAGCAGTTCTAGTAGGGATGTTTAACCTCTTTGTTTTTGTTTTTAGGACAAGGTTTCTCTGTAGCTCTGTCTGCCCTAGAATTCACCTGTGGACCAGGCTGGCCTTAAAAATCAGATCTACCTGCTTCTGTCTCCTCTAAGTGCTGGGATTAAAGATGTACATCACCATGCCTGGCTTTTTTTTTTTTTTTTTTAAATCTCTTTTAATTACTATGTCTAAACAGTATTTCCCCTTTGTTGAAGAATTTTGCTCATGCTAGTTATGTGCTTATTGTTACTGCTAGAAAAAACACATGTTGAGCTTAAAGTACACATCTGTAATGTCAGCCCTCAGGCTTAGACAGGATTGAATTGACATGATACCATCCTGGAGGATATAGTGAGGCACAAAAGCAAAAGTATGGCCTAAAGTAAGTAAACAGCACAGAATACTTTGCTTTGCCTTCATCTTGTAATTACTTTTTTGGTTTTACTTTTGTCTTTTTTTAATGTCAGAACTGTTGACACTGTTATTTACCTTGTCAGTAGACTGAAGATAGTCAAAACAGTATAGTATATAATGTACAATTCTACTTTGCCAAAATAGGTCCGACCCTTAATGTATCACCATTTGTCTAGGTAGATGCCTTTGCAGTTACTAAAGAGCTGTGACTTGATTTTTTCGCCCTTCTCTTGAGTTTCTGGTTACCTTTATAAGGATAACCTTCTTGGTGGCTTCTCATTACTCACTTGTCTAATACATTGTGAGATTTTTTTTTTTTTTTTTAAATTAAACTGTACTGCCGAATTCCGTAGCTAGTGCTTCAGTTCCATTTGAATTTTTTTTCAGGTTTTACTTTGAGAAATGCTTCATGACCTTGAAACACTTATTCATGGGGGAAGGTAACTATTATACCTTGCTCTTGTTTGATAGTCGGGAATCATTTTTTTCCCTCAACTTCAGAGATACTTGGATACATTTAATTTTATTTAAGCAGTTTCATTCAGACTCTCCAACCTCTTTGCAGGATTCAAGTATAGGTCCTAACTTACTCCCCTTTATGGAATAGTCTTGACTCTCTCAGTTGGCTTATTTTGCTTTCACCATCAAGTGTTGAGTTTGTTACTGAGAGTTTACACACACACACACACACACACACACACACACACACTTTGGAGATAGAGGCTGGTCAAGAACTATATAGACCAGACTGGTCAAGAACTCAGATCTTCTGCCTCTCCCTCCTGATTGCTGGAATTAAAAGTCAGTGCCACCATGCCTTGTCTGTATTGGGTTTTTGTTTCTTTTTGTTTTTTTATATAGTAGAGTTGAATTTACTAAAATATTTTTATTCAGTTTTTAAGCATGAAGATTAAGACACAGGTACTCTGAAAGTAAGATAATCTAGAGGCAGATGTGGGATTTCAAGTGCACTGTCTAGGTCAGTCTTATATTTTAAATTATAAGAGGGGCCTCACTGTCTTAAATCAGACCATAGCTGTTCACAGGTTCTAATTCACTACTGATCAAGAAAGACCTGTGGTGAGTCCCTTCTCTTGTGAGGTCACCACCTTTGCAATATCTACAGATGTATAATTAATATAGTGTAGTCAGCTGTGGACTTCTGGACTCAACCATTGATTAATCTTAAATGGGAGAATTTTGAGTTGATAATATCCAGTAAGTTGAAAAAGAGTCCACCTGGTTATTTTTATGCTTCTAGTTTTTCTTTTGTTTGATGGTTACTTATTTGTATTTATGAGAGAAATACTGATAAATTTTGTTAATCCATTGAGATAGCTAACTGCAAATCCTCTGAGGAAAAAAAATCACTATTCAGGTTTTGTTTTCAGATTAGGAGCAGAGAAAAATAACACTTAATGATAGGACTCATGAACACTTAGACAGTATTCACTTTTGATTAGTCATAGACCTTAAAAAGTGGTTTTACGGGGCTGGAGAGATAGCTCAGAGGTTAAGAGCACTGGCTCTTCTTCCAAAGGTCCTGAGTTCAATTCCCAGCAACCACATGGTGGCTCACAACCATCTATAATGAGATCTGATGCCCTCTTCTGGCCTGCAGGGCATGCAGGCAGAATACTGTATACATAATAAATAAACAAACAAATCTTTAAAAAAAAAAAAAGTGGTTTTACAACTCTCACCCCAGTTTTCTCCCTTCCTACTTTTTCAAACCAAGAGGCCTTGCCTTTTGCCTCCCTTGGAAAATGCAATTGTATGTATAGTTCAGTAAGTACAAAGTATGTAGGAGCTTCAGTTCTATAACTTTTGCAGGAGAAAAATCTTTATTTTCTGTGTAGTTGGGTGTAAATGCTGAATTTTAAAATCGAAATGGCTAGTAGAGTACATCATGGAAAGTACTACTAGATTTATTAAGATATCTCATCTTACAATCACTTTATAGTTATCTCTAGGGAGATCTGGGCATGGTAGTGAATGCAGAGGCAGATGGATCAGGTGACCAGCCTGATATGCAGAGAACGTTTTAGAACAGCCAGGACTAGACAGAAAAACTGTCTCAAAACCAAAAATCAACTACCAGTGCTGAATCTTGGTGCATGCCTATAATCCCAATACCTGTACAATAGGAGGTTAACCTGGGGTACATGGAAAGACTGAACTTAAAACTAGCACCTAGAATGTTTAAATATATCCTAAAGGACATTTTATTACACAGATTGGTACTTCACTAAGCAAAGCAGATTATTTTGAAGTGTCTAGAAATAAGACCAAAGGTTCAGAACATTTTAACATAGGGTTTCACAATATTTAGAAAAGCACTGAGTTGTTTCTTTTACATTTTGCAACTTTCATATTTTACCAGATAATGAGGCTTCAGTTTTTTGCTGTTGCAGGTAGCTTTCAGATTTGATATTTTGGGATTTGATTAGTGCTCTTTTGTCTTCTCTGGAATATGTTTATTTATATTGCTCTTACACTGATTAAAGAGTAATCCCTTAATTTTTTTTTTCTTTAAACCTGGACATTTTTAAGGTTATTCTTGGGACTTCCAGATCATTAAGTTAGGGTTATGATACTAAATACTGATTTTTATTTTACTGAATTAAGATTTTTGAATATAAAAATCTCATTGCTAATAGAACTTACTCATTCTTCCATAAAGCTCAGTTAGCTCAGTCTGTAGGTGTACATACACCAGGAAACTAAAGAGGGAACTTGGATATCTGACAGTTGGACTGGTGTATTTATATTCATAGGGATTCTCATTCTCCGACTGATTGGCCTATACTTTCATTTCTCACACAAACTGACAATATACAGGTTGATTAAGCAAAATACTTGATTGCTTCTAAATAGTCATGGTTCCAATGAATTAAATAATTCCCACCAACTTGAGTATTTTTAGGTGAAATCAGTAAAACCTTTTAGTCATCGGAACCATTAGAAGCAGCTATGTATAGTTACATACTTAATTCCCAAACTCGAGTCTTCATGCCTGCTGAAGACAACATGGTATTAAATTGATAGTGTAGTGTTCATATTCTGTGACATGTAGCTTCTTGCATTTTAATCAGACTTCCTGCCTAATCTTTTTATGCTTTTTATTGGGAAGGCTATTCATTAATCAGCATGAACTTGTACATTGCTGTTCCCTTGTTGCTCTTCAGGGAAAGAGTTTTTCAGTAAGGAAGCTAATATCTAGTCCTTTTTAAAGGAAAATGATCAAGCCATAGAGCATTGCTGTTACTTCTAAATTTCCTAAATTGCTGTGATAATGTTTGAGTTGGGAGTTGACATGTCATGTAAATGCCAGCTAATATTCTTATAGAAATTGTGTATTTTAATTTCTAGGATATGTTTATTTCAAATATGAGGTTGTAGACAATTTTCATGAAATACAATGGTGATAATTTATTGAGCCTGATCTGGAAATTTAAGGCTGAACCTCTCATTTCATTTTGTCTTTGAGACCGAGTCTCACTATATAGCCCTGCTTAGCCTGGATCCCTCTGTTTAGACCAAGCTGTGCTGGAATCCACAAGAGATTTGACATCCTCTGTGCTGGGACTAAATACGTATGCTAGCATACCTGGACCAACCTTTATTTTTTTGGTAATTAGGATGTTTCTAAACAAATATAGGTTAAACAACACCTCCAAGTTAACATGCTCTGTCCCAAAAATATCAGTAACTGCTCCCCTCACACAGAATAAACAATGTCTATTGAAACTTATCATACTCAATAATTTGAGCTGTACCTGTTTCTGCTGAGTTTTCTAGTATTAGAGTGATGGACATTTAAGTGTGGTTTCTTCTCACTAATTTTTTCGTAGCTATTAACAGGATGTTTGCATCCTTACACAAAACCTGGGTATTTGTGAAAGCTTTTTAGCCTTTGTAGTGTTTCCTTGTTACTGAAATCAGTCTTGAACCACCCCCACACTTTTTCCCTCATCTCCCAGCACACACCTTTAATCCCAGCACTCAGGAGGCAGAGGCAGGCGGATCTCTGAGTTTGAGGCCAGCCTGGTCTACAAAGACAAGAAACCTTGTCTTGGGAAAAAAAAAAAAAAGTACTCTTCGCACTTCATAATTTTCCAGCCTCTTATCACAACTTGTTTTTTTTTTTGTTTTTCCTACTTATTTTCCATTGTTTATAGTACAGCTTTATATCATAAGTATTTTTTAAGTTCAAGGCTTGTTTGATTTCTGTATTATGTGTAAATCTGCTCCTAGTTGTCTCTACATATCAGAGTACTTTTATTATATCACCACACCTAGTCAGATATGTTACATTTCTAAAGAGAGTAAAAAATACAGTTTTAGACAACAGCACTTTGTAATTTTAAATGCAGGCCACTTAATGGAAACTGCAAGTTTAAGTAGACTCCAGTTTACTAGTCATGGATGCATCAATTACTATCTGCTTTTGGATAACCTTAAAATTTTTTGTATGTTTATAGTTTTTCCTTCATGTATGTCTGTCCAAAATGTGCATGCTATATCTGAGGAGGCCAGAAGAGGGTGACATGCCCTATGCCCTAGAACTGGAGTTACAGATGGTTTTGAGTTTCTATATGTGTTTGGGAATCTAACCCTTGTTCTCTGGAAGAGCAGCCAGTGCTCTTTTACTGCTAAGCCACCTCTCCAGCCCCTTACATTAATGTTTTTCATGTTTCAGAATTGTGCTACACTTCAAACTACCTTCTTCAGACAAAAGTCTTACAGGCATATCAAAACTTTGAACATAAGTCTGAGAATCTGACATTGCTTTCTTGGGCAATTAAGTGGGTTTTTCATGTGTGTTATGTATGCTGTCTATTTTGAGGGGGAAAAAGAAGCACTTTGTAAACCTAAAGGTATCCAAGAGGAAAGCCATAGTTTTAAAACGTGGCAGAATTTTACTTGAATCTTCAGAACCACCTAAATTATTACTGATACTTTTTAAATTGAATTTCTTGCAGTTCATGTGCTAATTACATCCCTAGTTTTCCATGATTTCTTTACAGTAACAGGGAAAGTAAAACAAAAACAACAGGAAACAACTGGAATTTGCCCGTGACTATACATTTAAATAATTGTCAGTTGTGTTTTCAACATCTTGAAGACCTAGTGTTTGGAAGCGTCTGTTAGGGATAGTGGCAGTACAGGTCTCAAGTTGAAGTAATGAGTCCCCACAGAATGGCTCCATCACTGATAGCATCATCAATTCTGTAAGCATTGTTAAGAAAGCTTAGCTATTTAGCCTCAAGAAATAAAAGTTGAATTCTACATTATTCAGTGTGTGCACTTGTGCACATCTACAGTAGAAGTAACTGAACTGTTATCCAAGCACCTGGAAAATCTGCAGAGCTCCTAACTCTCTTGAGTGTAGGCCGTCAGACTGATTTCACTAAAAATTAGAATCTTCCTAGTCTTGTGTGCATGTTAATCAAAGAAGCACACATCTAAATAGTAACTGCATTTTAAGTTTTCCAGTAATACTTTTCAACAAAAATTTCCAAAATAACTTGATTCAAAATTTAAATGTGGATATACTATGTTGGATTTCTTTTAATGAGAAGAGACTTACCCATTTTTTAAAGGAAAGGTAAAAACTTATTTAAATTATTTAGTTAAATCCTTATTAGTAGAACTATAATTAAAATACTAATCTAAGAAAAATTTACTATTTTTTGTTGTTTTTGTGTCAAGGACATACTGTGGCCCAGTCTAGCCATTGTGTAACCAGGATGTCCTCAAGCTCGAGGCAGTGGCTCTTCTTCCAAGTGCTGGGATTCCTGCTGTGAGCCACCACATTTGGTACACCAAAAGCCTAATTGCGGGATGGTCTATAAGTCCCATGTCAAAGTTCCTGCAGCCCCCCTTTGGGTTTGTTTGTCCAGTTTCATAGCTGGTCTAAGGAAGCACTATGTACACCACAAAGTCCTCAAACTTGTAGCAGTCCTCTGCCTCCTGAATACTGGATTACACACTGCCATCACACTTGGCTCAAAGTGCTTTAAGATGTATGAAATACTGATAGGGTAAGAACTGTTAAAAACTTATAAAATACTTTTTGTGTTAAATATTTAAACTGCAAAGATAGCATATGTAGACATTTAAGCATCTGAAGTAATACAGTAAACATTTTTCTTTTTTATGACAAGTGTTAATATAGAGTATTTTACTTGTTTAAGAAATAAGACAAATATACATTGTTAATCTTGTCACAAGTTAGTGATAATAGATTATAAGTGCCTTTTCCAATCTAGTACTTTTTAAGTAGGTGAGTTGATATGTTCTCCATTGCCAGGCAGTTACATTTTCTAAAGTTATGAATCACACTTAATTGCATAACAGATTTTAGAAGCTAGCTTGTTATAAGGTAGAAATAAATCAACAAATGTGAAATATTAAATTTTCTGGTGCTAACCCTAGATGGGCATAGAGTTTTGGTGGTGGTAGGTTAATTTACCCAGGGAGTATCTATACTTGAGCCACTGATTCTGTAAAGTGGTAGTTCTTGGTTTCTTCCTAAATGGAGGTTTACCTCAATACCACAAAAATGTTAAATATGAAAGTAACACTTTTTGGTGGTGGTGGTGTTTGAGACAGGGTTTAACTGTGTAACCCTGGCTATCCGGGAACTCCCTTTGTGTACCGGTGTGTCCTGAACTCATCCTTTTGCTTGCCTCTTCCTCCCAAGTGCTGGGACTAAAGGCATGTGCCACCATCACCTGGCTGAAAGTAACACCTCAGAGCTCTCAAAATGACTGCGTTTCTCATGAGTGAATTAAATCTGCATTTTAGTTAGTTTTTTAAGGACTTGAAGTATACTTTTTTTTGTGTGTAGATTTTTATATTCAGATGTTGATATATAGTTATAGGTTTCAGGGAGAAAGACTATATTGAGAATAAATTTAAAATTGTAAAAAAAAATGAGTAAAAATACTTTAATGATTTATGACTGAGTAGGGAGGGGGCTTTAAAATAAATGTAACTCCTGTGATGAGTCTGAAGGGAGGGACTGGCTTCTAGGGATAGAGTATGCTATTACCCTTCTCTTCCTCATGTGCCCAATTTGTGCACATGATAGAATTATGTTAAAATGTGTTTTTCATTTAGCATCATGATTAAGTAAGTACACATGAGCAAGGCATTGTGTCTCTTGCCTGTAATTACAGCCCTAGGAGGCTGAGGCAGGAAGATTGCTGCGTGTTCAAGGCTGGATACTGTCTTTAAAAAAGTACATGTAATGTGAACTGGGACTTAGTACTACCTCAAACTCCGGTACACTATAGGATATGCTTGGAGGATGAGAGAAATCAGGTTTAAATTAAGTGGAAACGTTAGGTATTTTATTTAAATTTTCCTAGTGATTAATTATGAAATTTAAGTGAGAATAAACATAATTGCTGTTTGTGCAAGTATCTTCCCAGAGGCTTTTCAAGATCCTGACCCATTAAAAATTGCCCCATTACCTGTTGTTTAGGGGGAAAAAAACTATTATAGCCTTTAAATCTGCCCTGTATTATTTATACATTACATCTTTGTGTGACTTGTCTCCCTCACTAGATTGTAAGCCTTTGGAGGTCAGAAACTCAACTATTAACTCATTGTATCTTCCACCACATCTAGCACAGTGCCTTACACTTATTTGCTATTCAATAAATATTCGTTAAAATAATGGACATACTATTGAAGTTTGATGTCTATGGGCCTTTAGATGGATTATCATAGTTTTTAAACACACCTCTAGTACACAGTTGCATTATTTATAAAAACAAATTCACATTTGCTGAGCATTGTGGCTTATGCATGTAATCCTAGCACTTGAGGTTGAGGCAGGGTGATTGTCAAGTGTTCAAGACCAGCCTAGCTTCAGTGTGAGACAATGTTGCAAAAATCTTAACATAGTAGTGACCTTGCACAGCCTATGGTAATAGTCCAGGGCATATTTTGAATTTTCTTCCAATAAAAAGAAACTTTCAAACTATTCAAGTTCTAAATTTTGGGATTAAAAACATTCTGGTTTTGCTTTGTATTTTACACCTACAGTACACGTTTCATGTGTTTAATAGTTGTGGGATCAGAGACCACCAAAATAGACTGCCTAGATTCGGTGGGAGGTGGATAAACTTCTCTAGAGATTTCATGTTTTTATCTAGACCGGTGGATTAGGCTTTAATTTTCATGATTTCAAATCCAAAACATTCCTTGTATTAATGTGTAATGTTTAATAAGCACTTTTCACGCAATTTAATCTTCACACTTCATTAAATCCATTTTTTTAAATAATGAGATGAGAATTCAGGTGCTGAAGTAGGTAAGTTAACTGTTAAGTAACTTAGGCAAGACATTTCCATAGTTGCACTAGGGAGCTTAAGATTAGAATGACATTTTATAGACAAGTGTAAAGTGAATAGTACACTTTGAAGAAGCAGCATTTAATAAAGGTTAATTTTCTTAGATGTTTGTATCCTCTTGATTTTATTTGTGGATTTTAAAGAATCAGGGTATTTAGCTTAGTTGTGCACTGATTACTGTGTTGGAGACAAAGTTCAATCCTTATTACAGCCAAAAATACTCGTATGGAGAAATTTCAGTTTTCTAATTTTCAATATAGGAAAATTCCCTAGTTCATTCTAATTGCTCCTACAAAGAAATTAGACAAATGTTGGGAAGTTGTCTCATTTGAATAGAACTGTGAACATTTTTGAAAGTACATGCTGGCTCTTGGTCAAATTAATTTCAGAATAAGCCTTGGAATCAAATATTTTACCAGATGTTTACCAGCAAAGATCTTGCCAGATAAGTGACTAACTAGTTCAAACTACTTAGATTCATATCAAGCACTTAAAGGATAAATAAAGATTAATTCAATATAACCTTTTCTAAATTATTTTCTATTTTGGTATTAACCCTAGTGTGCTTCTATTAAAAAAAAAAACAGGAATATTTTGTAGTTCTGGAGACTAGACCTTTCACATATTTAGCAAACACTCCACTGTGGTCTTTTGATTTGAGATAGGGTCTTTGCTATGTGTTCTAGGCTGGCCTGAGACTACTGATCT